TCTCAACACATTTTATTCTTTATTCTCAATTAGTATTAAGTTCTAGATATTAATGTTTTTCCTGCCGTAACGCATTGCGTAATAGTGGCTTTAGGCATTGTATGTACTAGCTCTATCTATATATCAATCCATTAATGTAACATCACTTGTATGTATGTACCTTACCTGAATAAACATATTTATTGATTTATTTAAGATTGTTGCTGCTCTCTGATTGGCCAAACGAAACACAGTAGTGACCTCTATCGGCACGCAGGTGAACCAACAAATTTCTTCCTAAGTGGACCTTATTGAATCGCACCTAAGCATCTTCTTAGGGCGCACTTAGGAACCTTCGTAGCAAACCCACTTACGAAGAAATACACAGAGCTTCCTGAATCTAGGTCCAGCCCATCAACTGTGAAGCGCTCAGTCCCCCAGGGTACTGTGCTTGCTCCATTACTTTTTCTCATCCTCATATCGGACATAGACAAGAACACAACCTATAGCACTGTATCATCCTTTGCAGATGACACTAGGATCTTCATGAGAGTTGGCAACATAGAGGACACGGCAAACCTCCAGTCAGATGTAGATCAGGTCTTTCTATGGGCTACAGAAAATAATATGGTGTTTAACGAAGATAAGTTCTAGCTCATGCGTTATGGAAAAAATGAAAATATAACCATCTAATGGAAAAAAACCATCTAATTATCGTAGGGGACTTTAATATTGACCTCTGCGAGCCTGAACACCCTACTGCTGTTAGCTTCCTCAACTGTATGAATTCCTGCTTCCTCATACCCTTAATCACTAGACCTACTAGAATCACTGATAGTACTGCCACGGCTCTTGATTACATCTGGACCAACATAACCTCTCCGCTTACTTCAGGTATAATCACCGATAGCACTACAGACCATTACCCTACATTTCTCTTCACTAACATTAACAAACTACCTCTAGAGGCAAGGGAGTTAAGCTTTAGGCTGCACAATGAAACTGCTATAGGCAATTTTATAGCTGCTGCTGCTAATATCAACTGGGAATCCGAGTTAGGTAACATAGGGGACATCAACCTAGCAGTGCAATCTTTTCTTGAAAAAACTCTCAGCCTTTATAACACCCACTGTCTTATGCTAACGAAACAAGTCACAACTAAAAGGCTAAACCATCCTTGGCTTACAAAGGGGATACTTAAATCCATTAATAAAAAACATGACCTTTAGAAGAAATATAGGTTAGGAATCGTCTCTAAATAATATTAAAAAATATTTGAAAAACTAATCTACAAGCAGCTTTACTCTTATCTAGCCAAACACAATATACTTAGCTCTTGTCGATATGGCTTCAGACCCCAAAAAAGCACTAACGATGCACTTATAAGTATGATTAACTTGATACATGCAGCTCTTGATAAAAATGAGTTCCCTGTTGAAGGCCCCATTTGTGGACCTGCGTAAGGCTTTTGACACTGTCAACTACCAAAACCTTATTCTTAAATTAAATCATTATGGAGTCAAGAGGTCACTCCCTGCAATACCTCAAATCTTACCTTCGTGACAGGCTCCAATATGTTTCTGTGAATAATTCAATTTCTCCCACCCTACCCATCAACATTGGTGTTCCTCGGGGCAGCATACTTGGCCCTCTCCTCTTTCTCATCTACATTAATGACCTTCCAAATGCCTCCCAACACCTCAAACCAATTCTGTTTGCTGACGACACAACCTTCATTTACTCCAGTCCTGACCCCCTTGCTCTAAATGCCACAGTAAATACTGAGCTAAATAAAGTCCTAAATACCTATTTGATATTGCAAGAGTACGACTTAATCAAATTACAAATGCTCTACAAATCAAGGGGCCCAGAATGTGGAATGACCTTTCCAATGATGTTAAAGACTGTACCTCTCTCAACCAGTTTAAGTTAAAAACTAAACACTACCTAATTAACTCCCTGTAACCCACCTTACCCCTATAATGCCAACCCATGTCTGTTATTTATAAACAATGCTGTTTGTCGACCAAATTATATATTTGCTGTTTTCCTGCCATGTTCCCAACTTTTTTTATTTTTATATTATCTCAACACATTTTATACTTTAATCTCAATTAATATAAATTTTAGTCTTTAGTGTTTTTCCTGCCCGAAACGCTTTGTGTAATAGTGGCTTTAGGCATTGTATGTACTAGCTCTATCTATAAATCCATCAATGTTTTGTATCTCACCTTTGTACTTTACCTGAATAAACATTTGATTTGATTTGATAATGCTAGGAGACTTTGGGTCGCATGCAGTGGGTGTGGGTAGCTTTGGGTAATTCTTCGGATCCCCTTATTAGCAAGCTCTTTTGCTGCCTATGTCAACATTTATTTATATATTTATTTATATATATACAAGAAGGTACAATGGGTTTGTGAGAATACATTGGATAGTACAGTAATTACATTCTTGTAAAGCCACTAGTACGCGCAGCGTTTCGGGCAGGTCCTTAATCTAGCAGATAATTTTAAGAACATCTGCCGCTATGGCTGCTGCTGCCCCTCAGACACGCGCGCAGACATACTTTTTCTGTCTGCTGGTCTGTCTGTGACACTGGCAGAGATTGATACTTACAGAGGTTCACCATACAGAGGTGTTAGAGAAATTAACTGGGTCTCATAGTTTCTATGAGCCTGGAATCCAGGGGCTAGATTCACGAAGCAGTTACGCAAGCACTTACGAACCTGGGGCCAGATTCACGAAGCAGTTACGCAAGCACTTACGAACCTGGGGCCAGATTCACAAAGCAGTTACGCAAGCACTTACGAACGTGTACATCTTTCCTCAATCTTTGACGGCTTTGGTTACATTTATTAAACAGTTTACAAGCATGAAAACTTGCCAATCAACTGTTGTTATTGTTATAAACAGCCTCCTGGTGCTTCGGAGCTCATTAACTGTTTAATAATTGATAACAAAGCCGCCAAAGATTGAGAAAAGATGGACAGGTTCGTAAGTGCTTTCGTGAATCTGACCCCAGATTCCTAAGAAAGCCCCCCTGGCACTTTTTTTCCCCAAAGACCAAGGGTCTCAGACCCAATGGAAGCAAAGTTGTACTGATGGTTTATTTTCCTGTGGTAATTTGACTCTCCCTGTGGGTGGAAGTGGCATCTACCTGACCAACAGAAAGGGTAATGAATGTGGCTACCAAGGTGGATACACAGTTAGGTTTTTATTATTAAGAATAAAGTGCAACTATTTTTGCTGTGCCTTGCTGTAAATATGTAATACAATCAGAAGAAATAAATGGAACTAATTGAATATCCATCCATTATGAACAGGTCATTTCCAGGTCCAGATAATCTTAAAAATCCAGAAAGGATGATATGAATAATGGGATTTTCCACTCTAATGAACTGGACAATATTAAAAATTTAATTTTATGTGGATTTGTTGAACATAAGGCAAACTTATAGTCCTAAAATGCATAGCCAGAGGCATGGTGGATTAAATTAAATCTTTTGTGAAACAACACATCTCTGCCTCTTTAAAAAAAAATCACATTGCATAAGGTATTCTTACAGGGTGGCACAATAATTCTATTTACTCATGATAAAAGCAATACGGTATCACGGTATATTTTAGGAACTACTTGATAAAAGAAAATAACTCATATAGTTGCACCCATTTACTTCAGCATCATATACAAATATATACAAAGTTATATATCAAAAAGATACCCTCTCAGTTAAAAAGTCAAACTTTACCAATTTTATCTTAACTGTAATCTACAGCCCAGGAAACACAAACCGAAACTGTCTCTATTTTCCGCTTGTTACAACTTGTAATAAAGTTGTTACATCTTGGCTTAACGTGTTTATGACGTATTAGAACGTTGTTACAACTTGCTATATTGGTTGTTATAACTGGTTAGGAAGTGTTAAAACTTGTTCGAACGTTGTACCAACGTCGTAGTTTCGGTGTGTGTTTGGCGCTAGGACACTGGGAGGTGAAATTATTAATATTTGCTGATAAACCATAACCAAAGAGCCTAAAAGAAAGCATATGGTTCTTACGGCTATGAAAACTTGGGGTTCATGTAATACCCGACTGGATGTGGCGCATTTTATATTGCTTCTTCTTGGTATGTATTTTCTTATCAATTAGAAAAGTGAAATTTTTTATGAAAAGTAAATAATTTTATGAAAGTCTTGGATTAAAGATCTTCATAAAAATTGGTATTTTACTCAAGTTGGATGCTAAAGGCACATTTTAAGAACCACAAGTGACCACTGCCAAAGAAAACCATATCCTATCATCTTTATCAGCAGTGTGACCTGATATATATTGTAAAAAATGCAACAATTATTCAAATATGCCCTTTAAAAAAAAAATCATTATTGTCTGATAGCTAGGCTATATAAACACTAACAGTGTGTAACTGTTATATTAAGTGGGTATAGGAATGTTACAGGGTATTTATTTGAGCATGTAATATCCTTGCAAGCATTTACATCCCACAACAAACTGAACTAGTGTACCAGTGCAAAGTTGATCAACATCCTAATACAAACTCTCACACTGAATAAAAGTCAGATTAGAGGCAATGTAATCCACTGATGTGGTGAAAATTTGTCAAATTAGAACATAAATCCCAATGAACGAATGAAGCTTTTTGCATGCACACGACAAGAATTGCAACATTACGGAAACTTAATTATTTTGAGTGTTACTACAGGAAAATTATAGTTATAAGTAATCACTACAAGCCATCCATACAGCACTTAATTATACCTTGTTTACCGGACCATTAATTGCAATTCTTGATTCTATCCCTGGAAACACAAACCGAAACTGTCTCTATTTTCCGCTTGTTACAACTTGTAATAAAGTTGTTACATCTTGGCTCAACGTGTTTATGACGTATTAGAACGTTGTTAAAACTTGCTATATTAGGTGTTATAACTGGTTAGATGTTAAAACTTGTTGGAACATTGTACCAACGTCGTAGTTTCGGTGTGTGTTTGGCGGGATGTACTTTTAGAAAATACAAGTGGAACTAATAAATAATTTATCATTCATAATTAGTAAAAAATAACTCATTCCTATCTTAGGATGGATTAAATTCACGGTCTTCCTCATTCACATGAACATTTATAATGATAGAAATTTAGCATTATAAATGACAAATTTATAATGAATTCAATTTATGAACATTATCACGTTCAATTTATAATGAACGTGATAATGAAAGAACACCAAGAGACACTGGAGGAATAACTCGGTAATATATTTACAAGTTACCCTAACATTAAATTATAATCTTTGGAGTCTTGCATTAGTACCCAGGGTATAAAAAGACAAAGTAGCATATATTTTTCCTGTGCAGGCGATGAGTCACAATAACGTGGCTGAAGTATGTTGACCAGACCACACACTAGAAGTTGAAGGGACGACGACGTTTCGGTCCGTCCTGGACCATTCTCAAGTCGATTGAGAATGGTCCAGGACGGACCGAAACGTCGTCGTCCCTTCAACTTCTAGTGTGTGGTCTGGTCAACATATATTTTTCCTCATAAAATGAAAAAAAATTATGCCAAGGACACAGAAACCATGATAGCTAACAACCTATATTTAGAGCAATGTTTACCTTCGAACAGAACGTGTCACATACATGGACTGCACTTGTCACATACACAAAAAACAGACCATCTCTCATTGCATAGAACACAGTGATGGAGTAAAAGAATATAAGGGGGGGAAAAGAATGGTGTGCAGACCTGGAAAATGGGGGTTTTTTCAACCTTTAATTAAAAGATAAGCTTCATACAGTATACACATTTCTGCGTGTTGTTAAGGATGGACCTGCAAACTAGACAATTAATACTTGGCCCTTAGCAATATTTTCACATTCAGCATACTATTTAATAAAAGTTGTAACCTAATTCTATAATTGCCCCTAAAAATTTAATTATATTCAAACTCTAAATACATTTCATGCTTACAAATAACACTTAATTCCCATTGTAATACTGAGTGAAGCTTTTCCCCTTCAATGGAAAAGGTCAACTTGAATTACCCAAGAATAAAAAAGGTAGGCTAAATTGTACAGTATATTCTGCAAAAATGTCTCCATCCGTGGCAATACTGCAGCCTAAGCTGCACACCTCATAAATGCTGTTTTATGTAATATTCTCTTGCATTTGTTTCATTCCATTAATACTTAATATGCAATTTTGTGAATTTGCATATTTTACCATAAATGCATTCAGAACTGTAGAATAAACCCTAATTTATGTAAATGTGGCCATATTTTTTTTTTGGATTTTGTTTCTTGTAATTAAATGACAGAATTTAATGAAATCGTGAGGCTTAGATCCATTAGGTTATTTGTTAAGGCTTTGTTGTGATGTACAAAACTGTTTCCAAATTACGTCCAAGTACCTTAAATTTAATCTGATTGATAAAAAAAGTTATATGTACAATAACATACACCTGTGTGCATGATAAGACTAAGTACATTCTTCTTAAATTTTGGTAGAAATGTCTATATGTCAGCTGTTTGAAGAGGGCGGCCTTGAAATGTAATTTCAGCATATTGTGTCTTAGTTGGAGGATTATGTTGATTTCCACGTCTCATGGACCCATTATTAGATGCGCGTGGAAGCTGGAGTTCTGCATATACTACTCCACTGTTTGCTCTCCTATTGTTTTTGGCGCCGAGTTTTAATTTATCCAGATATGATGATGTGCTGCAGTCTGAATTTGGCCGGTAAACTGGTACATATTGAGGACCTTTGAAGCTTTTTGCCAAATCTTTATCTTCATCCTCTTGATTTTCATTTCTCCTAAAAGTCTGCATTTCAGCCTGCCTATATATGGTCTTATTTGAGTCATCCTGCTCCCCGTGATCACTTGCCTGTATCTCTTCCTCTTTCACCTCACCTGTGCTCTTGGTTGTCACAGTGAGCTCATCTCTTTTCGACTGACTGTTGCTGCTGCAACTGCTGCTGCTTCTCGTCTCCAGGCATATGTTTGGTGTTGCCATTTGTGTTGGCATTATCTGCAACATATAAAAAGTTATGTCTCTTAGATGCTCAAACACAACAGATATATACAGTAAAGAACACTGTTTTTCCCAAAAACGGTGGGTTTTCTGAGTGGAAGAGAAAACTTATGTCTGGAAGCTGACTTTAACCGCCCCAAGCTGCGCGCGCAACGAGCCGAGGTTATATAAACCTGGACGGAGACTGCGTGGCCCTCTTCCCGACAAGCCAGCAGCTGCTCTCTTACAAAACGTATTTGCAAAATATGCATAAATATATGCATATTTCTTGTGCAGTCTATTCTCATGCTTGACAAATGTCTTATTTGGAAATATTTTGCCTAACCATAAATGTACGAACTCAAACAAACCCCGAACTCTCGAGGTTGATGCTCAGTAGTCCAATAGTGTGTATAAATTGAATTGCATAAATTACTGCTAAAGCACCTCAATTTACAAACCTAAAGTAGCTATACATACCTTGAGGTTACCTTGAGGTGCTTCCGGGGCTTAGCGTCCCCGCGGCCCGGTCGTCGACCAGGCCTCCTGCTTGCTGGACTTATCAACCAGGCTGACCACAAGAACTGCACAACTCTGTGATTCTGCACCTTCTACTGACTCAGATTGCATAGACTCTCACCAACTGGACGCTATGTTCATGGTCAAGAACAAACTGAACTACTAGCTAGTGAGAACAACCATCTATACATTTGCAGGAAGTATAAACATAATAACAGGGTCCCCCAAGGGGCAAGTAGGAGAGGTGGGAGTCTTCCCTTGTTGACCAGAAGCCAACTGGCATTGTGAGGCAACAAAGAACGATGCTGTTTAAAGAAAACTTAGTAACCCTGATGTAAAGAAAGCAAATGATCTTTGTTGCAGAGAAATGACTCCTGAATTTATCTGAATTTTACCTGACTTTACCTGAGGACAACTAATACTAGTGGCCTCGATGAGGACAGGAAGCCGGAGGCTTATCAAAGGGCCCCCTATTTGCCCTGATGGTCTTTTATAGCTGTATTTTAAAACCCAGCAGAGTTTTGGCATTTACGGCTTCGGCGGGTAGGCCGTTCCACAGGTTTACAACCCTATGGGTGAAAAAGCTCCTAATTGTGATGTACCCAATTACCATCATATGGTGACCCAGATTACCCACACAAGGTGCTAGGACATAACCCTAAAGCCCCCCTACAAAGACAGGCGAGCATGCACCTGGGTTATCTTGAGGTTATCTTGAGTTGATTTCGGGGCTTTAGTGTCCCCGCGGCCCGGTCCTTGACCAGGCCTCCACCCCCAGGAAGCAGCCCGTGACAGCTGACTAACACCCAGGTACTTATTTACTGCTAGGTAACAGGGGCATTCAGGGTGAAAGAAACTTTGCCTATTTGTTTCTGCCTCGTGCGGGAATCGAACCCGCGCCACAGAATTACGAGTCCTGCGCGCTATCCACCAGGCTACGAGGCCCCCCACTGGGTGATCGACACTTCTGAACCGTAACTTGTCAAGGAGTCTGAAAAAGGTGAAGGATGAGCAGCTGAGAAGCCAGGACTGGTGCCTCCAGGCACAGCTGAAACACATGGTCAAGAGGCTGATAGTATGTGTCCATTGCTGCCTTAATCCAATTTATGTCCTTTTCTATGCAGATTGCATAGAAAATCTGCATAGAAGCAAGCTACATAGGAGTCCAGTATCACATCCCATAGGAGTGGAGTGAACAATTTTAGCAGTATCCACAGCTGAAGTAGTGGATGACAGGGCAAAGTAAGTATATTTTGTCTCCAAAGATACAGTCTCCGTGGTGTAGTGGTAAGACACTCGCCTGGCGTTCCGCGAGCGCTATGTCATGGGTTCGTATCCTGGCCGGGGAGGATTTACTGGGCGCAAATCCTTAACTGTAGCCTCTGTTTAACGCAACAGTAAAATGTGTACTTGGATGAAAAACGATTCTTCGCGGCGGGGATCGTATTCCAGGGACCATAGGATTAAGGACTTGCCCGAAACGCTACGCGTACTAGTGGCTGTACAAGAATGTAACAACTCTTCTATATATCTAAAAAAAAAAGTAGACACCTCAATGCACAAGGATCAACCTAGAACTGCTCAAAGAATACCTTTTGATCCATATACAAATGGAGACCTCACCAAAATGATTACCCTGGAAACACAAACCGAAACTGTCTCTATTTTCCGCTTGTTACAACTTGTAATAAAGTTGTTACATTTTGGCTTAACGTGTTTATGACGTATTAGAACGTTGTTACAACTTGCTATATTGGTTGTTATAACTAGTTAGGAGGTGTTAAAATTTGTTCAAACGTTGTACCAACGTCGTAGTTTCGGTGTGTGTTTGGAGGGTAGGCATTGTGGTCCACTGCCACCAATGCCAAAGGCAACTTGGGCACTTGGACAGAGTTGCCAAGCCCCATCATCACTGTGGAAAGAGCTGCAATGAACAGTGCACTATTAATGGCTGTATAGGAAGAGCCCAACAAATATGACTAGAAAGCCCTGAGCAAGAAAGACTTGTTGACCAAACCACACACTAGAAGGTGAAGAGACGACGGCATTTCCTTCTCCTCACCTTTCTCTTGCCTATCTATTGCCTTTGCCTCCTTCCTCTTTTCACAATCGACTTGATAATTTTTTTTTTTTTTTGAGATATATACAAGAGTTGTTACATTCTTGTAGAGCCACTAGTACGCGTAGCGTTTCGGGCAAGTCCTTAATCCTATGGTCCCTGGAATACGATCCCCTGCCGCGAAGAATCGTTTTTTCATCCAAGTACACATTTTACTGTTGCGTTAAACAGAGGCTACAATTAAGGAATTGCGCCCAGTAAATCCTCCCCGGCCAGGATACGAACCCATGACATAGCGCTCGCGGAACGCCAGGCGAGTGTCTTACCACTACACCACGGAGACTGTATTACTAATGGTCCAGGACAGACCGAAACGTCGTCTCTTTACTTCCTAGTGTGTGTGGTTTGGTCAGCATTCTTCTGCCCCGTTACTGTGACCCTTCATCTGCAAGAAAGACTTCTTCCACCCAAGTGAATGCTTCCAACAAAAAAGCAGCCACTTATCTTAAAACACTGTTGGCAGCTCACACTACAAATGGAAGTGGGTAAGACCCATACTCTAATAAGTTTAGTCGATCTCAGTCTCATGATTCAAATTTCACAGCAGAAAGTGAAGCAGGTTCCATGGAGCCAATACTTTGAGAAGGGGAGATAACTGTAACCTGTGCCATGAACTGGGACATACCCGATTTACCTGAGAGCCTAGTGATTAACCCTAGTGACCTCGACGAGGACAGGAAGCTGGCGGCTTGTCAAAGGTCCCCCCCCCTCCCACAACCCATTTGCCTTGATGATATTTTCCATGTATATATGGAAATTCAGCACAAACTTGGCAGTTACGACATATCCAAACTGCTCAACAAATTCTTTGCACTAGGAACTAAACTCCAAAGAAGGTAAAAAAATGAGCCTAAACACCACTTGTGACAACTCATCAATGTGTTGTCAGAGGTGATCATCGCGGCGTACAGTGTGATGATCATTTGTACAAGAGAGGCAGCATCATGTACAACATAGTCAACCCGTTCTCGCAAATTCGTAAAGTCAATATTGACTTATTAAATATGTGCATAGGTGATATACTAAACATAATAGATACCCTTAAAAAGATTCATAGAAAACACCGACCTTACCTAACCTTGTTAGTATCTTAAGATAAGCATCTTATTGCTTCGTAATTACAATTATTACTTAACCTATACCTATTATAGGTTAGGTAATAATTGTAATTATGAAGCAATAAGATGCTTATCTTAACATACTAACAAGGTTAGGTAAGGTCGGTGTTTTCTATGAATCTTTTTAGGGGTATCTATTATGTTAAGTATGTCACCTACGCACATATTTAATAAGTCAATATTGACTTATTAAATTTGCGAGAACGGGTTGCAACGTGACAGGAAGTGACACAGATGACATGGAGGAATTTTTAAAACTTGGACCTCTGAGAACAAGAGGTTTTAAAATAAAGAAAACAAAGGTGATATTTGCAACATTACCCTATTTTTCCAACTTGTCAATCAGTTTATAAAACAGTGTTTTTTAGATAACACAATTTTCTAGGAACATAATTGGAGTGTTATGGAATAATCACCTGTATACAATACTGTATACAACACACGTAAATAGGTACTTGGGAGTTAGTCAGCTGTCACGGGCTGCTTCCTGGGGGTGGAGGCCTGGTCGAGGACCGGGTCGCGGGGACACTAAAGCCCCGAAATCAACTCAATATAACCTCAAGATAACACGTCTATATATTTCAATACTCTTAAAACTATGTTTATAAATAAATATTTTATAGTGATACATTTTTTAAAATCTATGAATAATGCAATAGTGATGATAAAACATTATTTACAAGGAAAAGTGCCTCTAAATACATCCACTAAGTACATCTACAAACTTGGATTAAGCAAAACAAAATAATCCACTTGTTAATAAAATACTACATTAGTGTGCAAATGCCTTAATAAATGTGTTACTAACTATAGAACATACTAATGGCAGAATAGGGTTAAAGAATACAATAATGTATTAACCCTGTTAATACATTATCCCTGTTACCTAGCAGTAAAATAGGTACCTGGGTGTTAGTCAGCTGTCACGGGCTGCTTCCTGGGGGTGGAGGCCTGGTCGAGGACCGGGCCCCGGGGACACTAAAAAGCCCCGAAATCATCTCAAGATAACCCTATAAGCAGTTCCTGTGGCGTAGTGGTAACACACTCGATTGGCGTCTTGCGAGAACTTTGGCTTGGGTTCGTATCCTGGCCGGGGAGGATTGACTGGGCACTAATCCTTAACTGTAGCCTCTGTTCACCCAGCAGTGAATAGGTACCTGGTTGTTAAACAATTTACCGGGTCTTTTCCAGGTAAAATTAGGATATATATATATATATATATATATATATATATATATATATATATATATATGTCGTACCTA